ATTTCCTGAAGATTGAAATGGATTAAACATCAAAGTATGCCCCTTATCTATAAATTAAGTGACTTTTCAAATCACTCTAGTTGCTATGCACAGAAAGCTTGGCTTCTAAATATTTTTGACTTGGTTATGGATGCTTGATACCTACAAGAAACATTGGTAGAAACTATAGGGAAATCAGAAAACTCCAGAAAGATTTAAGTCTTCAAACTTAGGACTCCCTTTGCATGAACAGTTTGACATAAAAAGTCAAATAACAATTCAAAGGTTTAAATAAAGGCACATTAAGAGAAATGTCATGACACTTTATAATGTACTAATGGCCAATAAAAAAATAAGGAAGACATACAGCATTTTGCATGGGCAGGTTTTAAGGAGAGAAGTTTATACTGATGACATTTCCATGCATTGACTTGTTCCTTCTGCTTACTGTTAATTAAATAGCCTAAACCCTAAACAAAAGAGTTATTATTCGAAGGATATCAAAAGTTTAAAAAGCACAATAGCTGTTTTGATGACATTTAAAAAGAAAAGGTAAACAATTCAAGCTTACTTTAACAATTCTTATAAAAGTAACATGCCATGAGAATTGGGAACCCTTGTATATTGCTGGTGAGAATCGTACAGCCACTGTGGTAAACAATTTGGTGGTTCCAGAATATTACCATATAACCCAACAATTCCAGTACTGAGTATATATTCAAAAGATCTGAAAACAGGGGCTCAAACAGATACTTGTACACCAATGTCCACAGCAGCATTATTCACAAGAGCCAAAACATGAAGACAACCCCGTGCCCATCAACAGATGAATAGATAAACAACATGTAGTATGTGCATACAATGGAATATTTCTCAGCCACAGAAAGAAAGAAGTTATGATGTAGGCTACAAAATAGAAGAGCCTTGAAAAAGGTGAAATAAGCCAGATGCAGAAGAACAAATATCGTATTATTCCAGTTATATGAAATATGAAGAACAGGCAAGTTCATAGAGATGGAAAGTACATCAGAGGTTCCCAGTGGTTGAGGAAAAAAGGGAATGTGGAGTTACTGCTTAATAGTTACAGAATTTCTGTTTGGGGTGATGAAGAAGTTTTGTAAACAGACAGTGGTGATATGGTCATGCAACACTGTGAATGTAATTAGTGCCACTCAATTCTATACTTAAAAATAGTTAAAAGGCATTTTTGATACATATATTTATATATATACATGTGTGTGTTTATATATATGTGTGTGTATATATATTTTCTACCACATTAAAATAAAAAGTATTCCATGAGCACCCCAAGAATTAAAATGTAAGAGGAAAAGTGTACCTTTATATAAAATAGAACTGGGGGTCATCACATTAACCAAACTGTCCAAGTTGGCCACCTACAGCCTGACTTTATGTGCCTAATGAGGTGATGTGATGTAATCAATATAATCACCTTGCTGGAACATATGACCTCAATCTAGTGTATAGGATGTTCTATAGGACAAATGGCCTGAACTTTTCAAAGTTTTCACCATCATTAAAAAAAGAGAATATTGATACAACTGTTCCAGAGTGGAGAAACTAAAAAAAAAAACAAAAAACAAAAAACCAAACACAAGAGCCAAATGCAATGCTTAAAACTTGGATCTCATCTGAGATACCAGAGGAAATCTAAGTTATGGATAGAATGTAGGCTGGTAGTATTAAATTATTATGGTTTTCTTGGTTATGGTAATGAATATATATAGTTATATATAAAAATACCGCTGTACTTGGGAAATAAATGCTAAGGTACTTACAGGTGAAATGTCATGAAATCTGCAACCTACTTTTGGATGGTTTGGCAAAAGAGAATGTGTGGAGGAGGTGGGGAATGAGAGAGGTGGACCATTTAGGGTAGGAATAGTTTGTGAATTTAAACAAAGGATGATGGGTGTTTGTGTAGTCTTCAATTTTATTATGGGCTGAAAATTTCAAAATAAAAAAAGAAATATGATTCTTAAAAATAAGAATTCTTCAAAATTTCCTTTTTCCACTCAGAGTATACTTAAGAGAGCTAAATGAACAAGGGTAAAAATAAAGCAAGTTCAGTCCTAGAAGGCGAAGGTGGTGGGGACAAGATCACCCCACATCTCATACTTCTAAAACACTGCCTGTGCACCCTTGAGAGCAGGAATTGTTTGTTTTGCTTTCACTGTATCACCTAATACAATGTATGGCATGTGGCAGGTGCTGAGTCAATATTTGTTAAATGAACAAATGATATTGCACAAGTTATTTCTTCTCTCCGGCCTTGATTTCCTATAAAGCAAAAGGGGTGTACTTGATCAATACATCCACTTTCAGCTCTAAAAGCCTATACTTGTTTGAACTAGAATTTCTAAACACATCACATAAGGTGTCAGTAAAATTACTCCAGGACATCCGGGTCTGAATACACGCCTAGTCACAAGGTTTCACAACATTCTTACTCACCGCAGTCCCACACAAGATAAACAAAATGAACTTGCCCTGTTGAAACTATTGAAACTGCTCAATATTGCTGAGGTAGGAGAAGATATAAGTTGGTTATGGAAATAAAAAAGTATATATGACTATTCAGCTGAAACAGGAGAAGAGATGATACTAATAAAAATAGTATCAATGGCAGCAGAAAAAATTTAGCTTCTTCAGATGTTTGGAGAATCAGAAAAATTGGGTATCTGATTTAACCAAATAATCTTTGAAGGCAGCAGTCTTATTCTTTAGAAAGTGAAACACATTTACCTTCCTTAATGACCTGTCAATTAGAAATTACTCTCTAATCTTTAACAACTTTCTCCAAAAAGGAAAAGTAAGTTATTTTTAACCCACTATTCTAAATAACATCTAAAATTAATAAAGCAACTAGACTATATCACAAAACCATTAATTAATGATATCAGGTTTTATGAAATATTATTTCCTGAAGATTGAAATGGATTAAACATCAAAGTATGCCCCTTATCTATAAATTAAGTGACTTTTCAAATCACTCTAGTTGCTATGCACAGAAAGCTTGGCTTCTAAATATTTTTGACTTGGTTATGGATGCTTGATACCTACAAGAAACATTGGTAGAAACTATAGGGAAATCAGAAAACTCCAGAAAGATTTAAGTCTTCAAACTTAGGACTCCCTTTGCATGAACAGTTTGACATAAAAAGTCAAATAACAATTCAAAGGTTTAAATAAAGGCACATTAAGAGAAATGTCATGACACTTTATAATGTACTAATGGCCAATAAAAAAATAAGGAAGACATACAGCATTTTGCATGGGCAGGTTTTAAGGAGAGAAGTTTATACTGATGACATTTCCATGCATTGACTTGTTCCTTCTGCTTACTGTTAATTAAATAGCCTAAACCCTAAACAAAAGAGTTATTATTCGAAGGATATCAAAAGTTTAAAAAGCACAATAGCTGTTTTGATGACATTTAAAAAGAAAAGGTAAACAATTCAAGCTTACTTTAACAATTCTTATAAAAGTAACATGCCATGAGAATTGGGAACCCTTGTATATTGCTGGTGAGAATCGTACAGCCACTGTGGTAAACAATTTGGTGGTTCCAGAATATTACCATATAACCCAACAATTCCAGTACTGAGTATATATTCAAAAGATCTGAAAACAGGGGCTCAAACAGATACTTGTACACCAATGTCCACAGCAGCATTATTCACAAGAGCCAAAACATGAAGACAACCCCGTGCCCATCAACAGATGAATAGATAAACAACATGTAGTATGTGCATACAATGGAATATTTCTCAGCCACAGAAAGAAAGAAGTTATGATGTAGGCTACAAAATAGAAGAGCCTTGAAAAAGGTGAAATAAGCCAGATGCAGAAGAACAAATATCGTATTATTCCAGTTATATGAAATATGAAGAACAGGCAAGTTCATAGAGATGGAAAGTACATCAGAGGTTCCCAGTGGTTGAGGAAAAAAGGGAATGTGGAGTTACTGCTTAATAGTTACAGAATTTCTGTTTGGGGTGATGAAGAAGTTTTGTAAACAGACAGTGGTGATATGGTCATGCAACACTGTGAATGTAATTAGTGCCACTCAATTCTATACTTAAAAATAGTTAAAAGGCATTTTTGATACATATATTTATATATATACATGTGTGTGTTTATATATATGTGTGTGTATATATATTTTCTACCACATTAAAATAAAAAGTATTCCATGAGCACCCCAAGAATTAAAATGTAAGAGGAAAAGTGTACCTTTATATAAAATAGAACTGGGGGTCATCACATTAACCAAACTGTCCAAGTTGGCCACCTACAGCCTGACTTTATGTGCCTAATGAGGTGATGTGATGTAATCAATATAATCACCTTGCTGGAACATATGACCTCAATCTAGTGTATAGGATGTTCTATAGGACAAATGGCCTGAACTTTTCAAAGTTTTCACCATCATTAAAAAAAGAGAATATTGATACAACTGTTCCAGAGTGGAGAAACTAAAAAAAAAAACAAAAAACAAAAAACCAAACACAAGAGCCAAATGCAATGCTTAAAACTTGGATCTCATCTGAGATACCAGAGGAAATCTAAGTTATGGATAGAATGTAGGCTGGTAGTATTAAATTATTATGGTTTTCTTGGTTATGGTAATGAATATATATAGTTATATATAAAAATACCGCTGTACTTGGGAAATAAATGCTAAGGTACTTACAGGTGAAATGTCATGAAATCTGCAACCTACTTTTGGATGGTTTGGCAAAAGAGAATGTGTGGAGGAGGTGGGGAATGAGAGAGGTGGACCATTTAGGGTAGGAATAGTTTGTGAATTTAAACAAAGGATGATGGGTGTTTGTGTAGTCTTCAATTTTATTATGGGCTGAAAATTTCAAAATAAAAAAAGAAATATGATTCTTAAAAATTAGAATTCTTCAAAATTTCCTTTTTCCACTCAGAGTATACTTAAGAGAGCTAAATGAACAAGGGTAAAAATAAAGCAAGTTCAGTCCTTTACATACCTTCTACATCATACCAATGTGCTCCATTTGTGATCCCATCTTTGAATGTCTCATCTTCATCTCCTGGACAGTGAGGTGTACCAGTTTTCATTATGGGGTGGTTTGAAGCATAGGCTTTTGCCAAGTATTTAAAGACTTCATCATCTGAGGTTTTGCTATAGATTCCAGTGGCCTTATGTTCTGGAGAATCATCAAAAGGATAGCTTGCTACCACCGAGCCACCGTGCAGATTTCCAGAAAGTACAAACCTTTGAAAACAACCAAATCACAAATCACTATAAAAAAAGGCACAGAAAACGCCAATTATATATAAAATTCTAGATCTTTCATAAATGAACTCAAGTATCTCTTAGAGACCTAGAAGACAACTCTATCAGTTGTTATAAAAAGACCAACAAAAAAAGAATATGAAAGAAAGTATTGTCAATTTAACAATTTTCAATTAGTTTTTACAATTCAAGTTAATCTCAAGTAACTTTAAAGAATTTTCCCATCATTAAAAAGGTAGCTGAGTAACAGTATAAATCAATGTTTAAGGAGATATCATAGGGAATTCTAAATTCATGTATTAGGTTGAACAATATGAACTTGCCAGCAGTCAACCACTTTTGACCTACACAAATGACAATTTCATATAGTTCAACCTAATACTTGTATTTCATAATGTGTTAATGCCACAGAAAGTATAGCTTATATAAATAAATATTTGTTGAACACATGAGTTAGGTTAGTAACTTTCATGCTTTTTGTATTATTATCCAAACATTTTAAGATAGGGAGCCCAACTTAAGACAGAAGATGTTCTGCCTCATTCCAGTGTCATAATGTATTAAGTTCACATTTCCAAGAGAGAAGCCACAGTTGAGAAAATATGGGGGGAGAACCTGATACACTGAGCTGCTGCTTTCAGAGTAAGACAATGAGGCACATAAAAAACTCATTTTCCATTGCATCACTGTAGAAGTTGCTTTCTTTCTAGGCCCAAGGTTTCTGATTGGGTCATTTAAAAAAAATTGACATGGAGACAAGGCTGTTCCCATAAAAGAAATGCTCTTTTTATGTTCTACTTTTTAGTGAATCCATTTACAATTTGGTCAAATTTATAGATACAGAAATATAAAGAACTTCTTTTATGGCGAAAGCTAAATGCTGAAATACGGTCAAGTCCTATTTATATATCTTTGCCCTCATGTAACAGTTCAAACTGTTACTATGAGTACAGATTAAACACTTCACTTTGCACTCCAAATTGGATTTTCTTGCTTTTGCTTTTGTTGTTGAAATGAACTGACCTTCAGAAATTCTAAAATGGGTTATATATAACATTCATTTCTATATGCTTGAAGGAAAATTAAACCTGTTGAATGCCTAATTTGGCGGGGTATTTTAAGTATAATCAATACTATCCCATAGAATATCAAACATTGAAAATTACTTGTAACACAGAATCTGTTCATCAGAAGACAGAATTTAGCCAATAAAAACAGTGATTAAATACTTGAATAGATTATGAAAAGAGACTAGTTAAAAACTAATATAATTATAAGTAGCAGTCTTCCAGACACCAGAGGAGAATGCCAGTTGGTGAAGCGTAACTGCACAGGCTTTGAGGCCTGGCAGACATGGCTAAGAACATTTGGTCTCCCAGACCTGCGCTCACCAGCGATATAATATGACCAGGAGAGGTTACTACCTCTAAATTCACTGGGCCCCAGTTTCTTGCTCATCTGTAAAATGGAGATTAATTCTACCTGCTTCTCAGGGTTGTTATGACAATTAAATAAGATAATACATGTACAGCACCTTCTAGCCTAAAAGCTGCTTTATAGCATCTGCTCAACAAATGTTCATTCTTTGGAGTTACCTAGCATCCTGCTTTGGGAATCAATGCTTACCATTCTACTCCCCACTTCCATGGCTACCCTTGGGTGATGGAATAATACAGAAACATTAAGTGTATATTCGAACATTCTAACTCTACCCAGCCCCCTCTTCCCCACTGCTAAGGTAATGTACTTTCTGAAATGCATGCCTAAAATAATTTAAGTACTCTCCCTCAACCCCTGATTTTTGGGAAAGTTACAAGACTGGTCCAGTTCAGGCAATCCATTCTGGAACAAATTGTCTTGAATATCAACTATGTGATTAATTCTAAGCAGTAGGAACAAAACACAAAACAGTGAACAAACACAAAAATCCTCCCCTGGCATTTGTATTCTAGTGAAATAAAATGAGTAACTGAAGATGCATGCTACTTTAATTATATGTTTTCAATTAAAACTTCAAAATCCCAGATTCTCTATTAAATGCTGTTTTTCACTTTTTTTTTATATTTCTTACAACACTTCTCAGAAATATTATTAAAATGGCCTAACTGAACACTCTCAGAACAATGAAATATTTACAATCTATTTGAGTGATAAAATTAAATTATTAGATTTCCCTTACTCTATTTACATAGTCTTAAAAGTACCAATGCCCCTTTTGTAAGGATTTCAAGAGAAAGTGGTACCTATTATAATGGCTATAGAATTACTGCTGTAAGTCTTTGTCAAACCAGCTTTGCATACTAATCCAATTTTGATGGTTTCCATTCAAATAAATTCTCTTAGGTGTTTCTCGTACTTGACTTCCATATCATATATCATTCCTTGCATAAGATTTAAAGTAGCTGCTAAATATATTATAAATATTATAAACAGGAGTCTACAGATACTGAAGTCAATCTCTAAATTAACCTAGTACGTCCTCTAGAAAACCATATAATTTAAAAAATTAAGAGCATTTGGTGTCTGATAAGCTAAATTCTAAAGATTCAGGAACCTGTTGGTACATACAGAAGCCCCCAAAGTAGTCTGCACCCATCCTCAGTAATATGATGCTTTTCACAAACATAACCAAAAAATCATTTATATGCTAATCTCCTCTTAAAGTCTAAGCAAGTATATTTAAATAAATAAGTGTAGTGTGCTGAAACTATGGGGGTTGAGTAGGCTATAAAGTCTTTATGTTAATGATAGAGTTGAAATCTTGCATATTTCCTAAGTATTTGTGTCAGGTATCAATAGTATAAAAACACCCACTGGGTGAAATATAAAGTGAATGAAAATAAATTTCACTTTCCTAAGCAGAAAGAAGTAAGTTTTAATTTTTACAAATACAAAATAACAAAAAATCTATTTCTAACATAGCTGGGTAAATAGTATATCCATAAATAATCAAAATGATTGATTTCACAAAATACAATGAAAAACATGATTTTCCCATACACTCATGTTTTTGATATTTAAAATTCCTGTCCATAAAGCTGACTCTATATTTAGGCATTAACCTTAAACTGTGTACATGCTTGTGTTTTTAATTTTACTCACATATCAGTGTTCTTTGTTATTGATTAATCACTAAATATGCATTTTGAGTTAATTTTTTGAGACTGAGGGTGGAAGGATATACTTTTCACCCTATGTAGTAACCTATTTTCCCCTCTGATTTGAAAGTGGTTAGGTATGATTAGGGTAGTCCATAGCCACAGAATAAAATGACTTCCAGTATAACACTAACTGATACAGATGAGCTTTTAAAATCCTCACAAGCTCCTATCATTAAACTAACTGGCCCAAACCATAACTTATAATCAAATACTGGTGAGGTAAAACAGTTAACCAAAGAGAATTTTTGGTTCCAGATTTAAAGTTTAAAGCTTTCAGTAGCCCTCATGGTGACTTGCATCAAGGCAAAGTTCATTTTCATTCTTGGTCACAACAGAATAATGAAGAGAAAAATGTAGCCACAGAATTTATATCCCTGCAAGGGTTGTAACAGGGCATTTTAAACATGTCATTTAAGCAATGTAAACAGTGTACCTGACACATCTCATCACAGCTTCTGACAATAAGGTGTATGTTAAAGTCATATTTCTTATGCAGATGTTCAGAGGTCATGACCAGTTATCTTTGAAAGAAAAAAAAAATCTTCCCAGAAAGTGTATGTTAAACTAAGTATTTACAAGGGATCTCAAAAGGAGTAAAGTAAAAGGTGAAAGATAAAAAGAATCTAGAATTATCATAATGCCCACAGATTTTCTAGGTCTGCCAAATACACTGAAATCTTATAGAAGAGATGATTCCAAGTTCCACAGAGAAACTCCTTTGCTGGTTCTTTTATCTATCACTCAGAAATCATCTTTAAATCAAGATGAAAAGATTAATCATTGCTTCACAAGTCTTATGAAGACACAAAAATGAGGATATGCTGGTAAAGCTGATGCTCAAAAAAGGTTAGAGGGGCATGCTCGCTTCAGACATTATTCCACCTAGAGTTAAGTTCTCTCTTTTTTATTCCTCTCCCCCTCCTTTTTGCTGAAAATCCTACCCATCTCTCAAGACTCAAGTCAAGTTCTACCTCTTCCAAAGAGATGATCCATTTTATTGCAGCCCACACACATTTTGCTAGTAGGAGTGTTTTCTGTAAAGTTTAAACAGGTACATAAATATACTTCATGTATATTTATTTCTCTTGCTATAAACCGATTTCTTGAGGTCTTCTAATTTTTAAAATCCTACATAGTGCTTAATAACACTTAACACTTAAAGTGTGTATTGAGTGTAACAATTAGCTATTCAGCGCTGGCACACATAAATGGCATCAGAAATCCTTCAGAGAGTCTAAAATGAAGCAGCTCACAGATGAAGGCTCCAAATCTGAACAGGTTCTCCAGCCATATCCATATGCTCCTTAGCTGAGTCAGAGGTAGACTGGGAGAGAACCAGTTTCTGTCAAATAGCCAAGAGGAAGACCCTGAGTGTCATTTATCATTTCTGGGCTAGTTTCCCCATGGCTGGTAAGGGCACAGATTAAGAATCAGATTGCCTGAGTCTAAGTCGCAGCTACATTCCTACCATGCACGTTATTTAATCAATCTGACCCTCAGTTTACCCACATGCAAAACAGGGATATTAATGGTGTCGATCTCATCAGGTTTGTGGCCAACATAAAGTGAGATCACCCAGTCCCAGGAAAGGACTTGGCACAGTGCTTACAGGAGTAGATAATAGCAATTTGGGCTGCTTATCTATAACATTGTTGAACTGACCCAGGTTACAGTTAAGGTCTCTCCTGTTCGCTCATCGTCTATGCTCCTGTGAGAATAGTAACCATAATGTCAGAGAAGAGTCTCTCCTGCAGCCAAATAGCTCTTTGTATCCGTTTAACAAATGAGAGCCTCTAGGCAGCGCTTCTCAAACAATTAATGGGACTGGAGGCTGAACAGCGTGGGCCCCGATCACCATACCGAGTGTACGTAGCCTTCCACCTTCCTAAGCCCCGTCTCTAAGGCCTGCGAGCACTGTTTGAGCGCCTACTGGGTGCCAGACCCGGCCTCTGCCTCTGGAGGCTCACGTGGATTGGATTTGCGGGAGAGGACATGGCACATGGCACTCACTTGTTCCTGCGCATCCAGCCCATGAGGGCGCGCACCTCGGGCACGTCGTCCAGGGCCGGGAACTCGCCGGTGCTGAACTGGTCAGGGAAACTGCGGTTGAGGTCGCGGCCGCGGCTGTTGTCGCGGCCGCTGGCCCCGGGAGGGCCACTGTCGCCGAGGCCGCAGTCGCCCTCGCGGGCGCGCTCAAAGCCATCGGGGTTGAGGCTGGGCAGCACATACACGTCGGTGGTGTTGAGCAGGCGGACAAGACGCGGGTCCCCGCGGCGGTAGCCAGCCGCCAGCTCGCGGGCCAGGTAGATGAGCACTTGGCGGGACACGGTCTCGTCGCCGTGCATGTTGCCTACCAGCTTCACCTGCGGCCGGCCGGGCAGAAGCGGCCCCGCCGCGTCGGGCCCAGCGTCGCCGTCAGGGGGCGGCGGCCCTAGGCCGGCTGTGAGGCGCAGCACCCACAGCGGCCGGCCCTCCACCGATCTGCCGATGCTGAAGAGGCGGGCCAGGCCCGGGGGCCCCGCGGCCACCGCCTCCCTCAGCGCCGAGCCCAGCTCCTCTTCGTGGTAGTAGCGGTCGAACTGACCCTCGCCCGCCTCGGCGCCCGCGCTCGTGGTCGTCGTCGTCGCCTCCGCTTTCTTGATGTGCGCTGCCCGGGCCGAGCTCCGCAGCAGCAGCAGGCACAGCAGCAGCGGGAGGCGCCCTGGCGGCCAGGGCGGCCGCGCTTCCCGGCTGCTCGCCATCTTCCAGCAGCGCCGCTAACCCGGCTCCGCTCCCTTGGCTCCGCACTCCGGGCCGCCGGGGCTCGCCGGATCCCCTCCGCGCCTAGCAACCCCATCCCGCCCTCCGGCCGCAGCCAATCGTGGATGGGCCTTCTGCGCGTCACGCCTGGGGGCGGGGCTGTCCTTAAAGCAGCCGATTCCCTCTGGGCGTGTCTTCCTCCAGTCCCGGGCGAGTTTGGACTGTCTCTTCACTGAGGTTCCTTTCGCTCACTTTCCCTCCCCCCAATTTCCTCTTCTGGGTTTGCTTAACTTGTCCTCACTCGCTCAGCCTTTGAGATCTTCCCTGTGGCTTACCCCTTAAATTCTCACCCATTTTTATCTGAATGCTCTTACTAGCTCCCTGCCCGTCTTTGTTGCAGCTTTCCCAGAGGCGCTTTAACGCTTAGAACCGAGAATCAAGAATCGAAAGAATCAAAAGGTTCGAAAGAATCAAAAGGTTCGAAAGAATCAATGACTCAGAAAAAAAAATTTTTTTTTTAAGGTATGAAAGACTCTACCTTGGAAGACTCAAAGGACTCATTAGCCCTTTCCACCTTCCACCCTTTCCACTGGTGTCACCCTGCCTGGGCTTAAGCCCAGCACCCTGCAAGCCCAGCGTTGAAGAGAATGGGACACTTGGAGTGTCAGAAGGCTCACTACCTCACAGGGCAGTCCGTTCCAGCTTTTACTCTCTGTGTTGAGAGACGGTGTCACCTTTATGTGTGGCGGAAATCTCCGTTATAGGCTCCCTTTGTGTTCATGTATGTATTTCTTTAGTGTCACCCCAGGTAATTTCACTGCCTCCAGTCCCTGTGTGTGCTGCTTTCGGCCCTCGGCAGGCAGATTTCATTTCATAGTTCACTTGCCTACCTCTCACACCCCTCTTGAGCAAGTTTTTTGTTTACCTGTGACCTCAGAATGACATTTTTAAAACAGCAGGTATGACATTTCTGGGAACACTGGCTTGTTGAGTGTAAGTCCTGAACTCCTCAATATTCCATCAAAGCTGGCAAATACAATGTTTGTCTTTTTTGTCTAGAGAAGAGGGCTTTTTAAAGCTGATCTTCAAAATAGGCTTTAGTCACTTTAGCTTAAAGAAACACAAAACCTCACAATCCTGCTATCAAGTGTGAAATTCTAACCATCTAACAATATAATTGCAATAACTGTTGTGTTTCTTTTTTTCGGAGCTAGGCGTTTCAAGTCCTCTTCCTTGAACTATGATTGAACCCTAATATGACTAGTAAATAATTCATTCATTTGTCAGATTTTAATGAGAAAATTACTGTGTGTCAGGTTCGGTGCTGGTAAGCAATTCGTTCTGCTCAGTTAGAGACTGGATACAGTTTGCCGTAAGTGCTACCACAGAGATATGGGGGCCTACGTGAGGGAAACTTCATTAAACCTGAAGAGAAGGAAGGGAGTAGGAGAGAAACTGGGGATGTTGGCTGGGGAGAGAGGAATTTTGGGCAGAAGGAGGAGCAAGCACAGAAGACTGCAAGGCTTGAGGGCAAAAACCTGCATGTTCTGGGAAGTGCACGCAGATGAGAATTACTGACATCAAGGAGCTCATGGGTGTGCAGGTGACCTGACAAGATACAAACCAGAGAAGCAGGACCAGACCCGAAGAGCCTCACTGGTCAGGCTCTGGGGAGCACTTGATAAGGAAGACCATGGATTTTAAGCTAGTTTAGAAAAATCCTTCTGACAGGAACATGGGAATGGAGTGGGAGCCAAGTCTTGAGACCCAGAAACCTACAGGAGGATGTAATCCAAGTGGACATGATTAGGCTCTCAACCCCTGGCAGTGCCGTGGAGGTGGAGAGAAGGAAATGGGTTTTAGGAGGGAAAGTGTACAGGATCTGGTGACAGAGGATTGTAGGCAGCCTCCAAGTTACAGCTTAAGCACCTTGCCGGTGTTTATTGAGGTACAGGATAGAAGAAAGCAAAGGTTTAGGTGAAGATGATGAGTTTAGTGCAGTCCCTCTGGTTCTGGTGAACGCTTCTTGTCCTCAATGCCGCATCTGGCTTAGTCTGCATCGTACACAGCAGCTGCAAGTCATCAGAAACAAAGCCCCAGCTCTGTACAGAGACCACTCCCCGCACTCCTGCCCCCACTGCCCTGGGGAGTGCTTATTCATTACAGCATGCACTTTTACAATAATCCTAATACAAGAAGCCCCAGGGGACACGTTAACCTCTAATCAAATATTTCCTTTCCTTTTCTATCACTTCACTCTCCTTGAAACCGCTTCCTCCCCTCATTCCTCCAGTCTCACCTAGTGAGGCCCTCTTGAAACAAATAAACAAGCATATATAAACTGAAATAATGTGTAACTTGAGCCATCATCCTCTGAGGAGTCCACAGGCCTTCCTTGATGTGTTCTGCAGACTCTTTCAGGTCTAGAGGCTCCATCCTTAGCAAATACACAGTGCCAGTGGTGAGAAGTGAATTGCAAAGCTCCTGACCCTGGGACACCTCCAGCTAAGTACCTCCAGCTGCCCCAGAGAAGTCCTGAACCTTCTAACAGGTGTCCCTTTCCACCTCCCCATGATGACAGTCTTGGCCTCACAAGTGAGGGAATTTGGTTTCGAAAAGCTTGAAAGTAAAAAAGCTTCCTATTTTCAGAAACAGAGCAGTAATGACCTGGGTTTTTTGTTTTTTTATTTTTTTAAATTTTTTATTAAGGTATTATTGATATACACTCTTATGAAGGTTTCACATGAAAAAACAATGTGGTTTCTACATTTACCCATATTATCAAGTCCCCACCACCCATACCCCATTGCAGTCACTGTCCGTCAGTGTAGAAAGATGCCACAGATTCACTATTTGCCTTCTCTGTGCCACTCAGTTTTCCCCAAGAAACCGCTCCCCCACACACCATTTGTACTAAACATAATACCCCTCAATCTCCATCTCCCTCCCTCCCAACCCACCCTCCCACACCCCTCCTCTTTGGTAACTGCTAGTCCCTTCTTGGAGTCTGTGAGTCTGCTGCTATTTTGTTCCTTCAGTTTTGCTTCGTTGTTATACTCCACAAATGAGGGAAATCATTTGGCACTTCTCTTTCTCTGCCTGGCTTATTTCACTGAGCATAATAACCTGTAGCTCCATCCATGTTGTTGCAAATGGTAGGATTTGTTTCTTTTTATGGCTAAATAGTATTCCATTGTGTATATGTACCACCTCTTCTT